TCAGCGCGTGGTGCGGCCACACCACCTTCAGGTAGCGGTTGAGCGCGATGGCCATGAGGAAGACGGCGCTGGCCGAGCGGTTGGCCGACAGCATGAAGAGGTTGGCCTTGCAGGCCGCGGCCCCGAAGCGCCAGGCCTCCCGGTGGAAGTAGTAGTCCACGCGCAGGGGCAGGCTGACGATCAGGAGGAAGTCTGCCGCCACCAGGCAGACCAGGAACACCACGTTGGAGGACCAGGGCCGCGTGTGCACGCAGAAGATGAAGAAGGCCAGGCCGTTCGCCAGCAGGCCCAGGATGAACTCCACGCCCAGGACGGGCGCCAGGATCACGGCCATCTTTGGGGAAGAGACCACGAGGCAGGGGGGCGAGGGAGCGCTCAGGTTCTGAAATTCCATGTGCTGCTTGGGCCGCGGAGCTGAGAGCGGTGTCCGGTCTTTCTGCTTCTAGGAGGGTGCAGGATGAGTGCTCTCCATCAGCTGCCGCCACAATGACTCAGTATTCTGGGGTTTTCATCGGTATCCTCGAAGCCACGGAGAAACAACCAGTGTTCCTGTTTGATAGCAAAGAGGAACCCCTGGCCCTCCCTCCCTCCCCTTCCCACACTGGCTGATGCCCCTCCCCGGGTCTCTGAACCCAGCCTGGAGGGGGCATCTGTGCTGCCCATGGCAGAGGAGGAAGCAAGACTCAGCGGGGGTGAGATGGAGGCCCAGGGAGACCCTGAGGTGGGAGGAAGCCCCACCTGGGGTGAGGTGGGGAGAGTGTATGTGGCTCTGGGTGGTCAGACACCTGCTTGCTGAAGGCAGAAGCTGGTCCTGGAAACCCATAGCTCTCAGGATCATGCAGACCGACCTGGACAACCCCCACCCACCATCACAAATACAGGCTGGGCAGCCGTCTCCCTGCCCCCATAGTTCTGGTGGAGGGACTAGGGCCCAACAGGATGTTGTCTGGGAGAGGGAGGTGGGGCTCCCATACACCTGACAGGTGAAGTGAGCATGGCCTGTGGGAACCAGCCCGCTTATGCCCGGCCAGCTGCTGTAGTTACTTCCAGATTCCTGATGACTCCAAAGTCTGTGATGGTCCCACGTCCAAGTACACGATGAAGCACATGCCGCAGGCAGAAGGCTCCCCTGCCGTGACCTGGGGGCCTGGGGGGTCCTCCCCCGAGCAGAACAATCCTGGGAATCCTGGAGTCTCCCTGCCCACTGTCTACTCCACTCCGCCTCCAGCCAGCATCCGCAGAGGAGAGGGGTGTGAGGCTGCGGCTGGCTTTGGACCAGGTACAGGTCCTGCTATCCCACTGTCAGGTGTTCTCATGAGCCCATGTGGCCAGCTTGAGGACAGAGACGAGAACCTAGGGCTCCTGATAACCTGGGTCAGCACCACGGGAGGCTGTGGTTGCAGGTTCCAGGCCTTGGTACCCACCCTTGCCAACGGACTGTGGTCAGCAGTGTGCCATGTGCTGCCTAGGCCTCTGGGTTTTAGGCATCGTGGCCACCGGCTCCTCTCCCACAGATCCCCCTGACCTGGACTTCTGCCTGGCCACGGCCAAGGGCAGTCAGAGTGCGTGCCCCTGCAGGGTGCAGGGTGGTGAGACCACCGGCCTGAATTCTGAATGCAGACAGGCCATGGCTGGTAACAGAGCTGCCTGCTTTCTAAACTTCTCTGAGCCTCATCTTTAAAGCAGTGCTACCGCCTTCCTAGGGTGTTGTGAGGATTAAGTAAGACAATGTATGTAAAAACTTCTAGGGAATTCCCTGGCACAGAGCTAGTGTTCAGAAAAACAGAACATCTAATTTTCATTATTTTCTGTTTTGGGTTAGGCACTAGGGAGAGCTCGCTCTTCTCCTGGCTACCTGTACCCTCCCAGGGGCCTCGCCGAGACATTCCTGTGTTTCCTGGCTTCTGCACGGAGCCACCACACATGGCTGCAGCCCCGGCGTGTGCCAGGCCTCTGCCCTCACTGCCATGGGCTGCTTGCAAGTGTTGGGGAGGCTGGGGATGTTTTTTCTTTGCTTTCAGGAGAGGAAAGCCCTGGGGAATAGAGAGGTGGGTAAAGGTCCTTCTATCCCTCAGGGCCAGAAGCAGTGAGCCACCCGGCTGGTGTGGAGAAGGCAGGGCTCAGACGCCCGGTTTTCCACAGGAAGCTTCGACTCTAACCAGGGACATGCTCCGTCCTTCAGTTACCCCCACCTGAGACCCCTCATCGATGTCTCATTGAAGCCCCAGGAAGACAAGATCTCCCCCTACAGGTTTCCTGTTTCATTTCTACCCACTGCTGCTTCTGGGGCTGCCAGCACTCCTGACCCCAGAGCAGGCCCAGCAGCCTTGTCTTTGGAGAGGGCACCTGCAAACAGCAGGGGAGCAGGGGGCGGAGGACTGCCAAGCTCCTCTTAGAGCTTCCTGCCCCTGTGGGCTCATCACAGTCTTCATGTATTCAGACGGGTTAACGCTGGGGGTGGAATTTTATCTATTTCTGTAGTTTCTACAACTAGCAGAAATCACTCCTGTTATCGGGAGGAAAAACCTAACAGATGCTATTTTTAAAATTATGAAAAAATACGTGAGAAAGAGGCAGAGAGACAACATTCTCTGTGCCCCCAGGACAACCACCTGGCCCGTGTGGACCAGGCCACAGGCACAGTGATGAAAGGCCCTCTACAAGCAGGGACACCCCCTAATAGACCCTCCACACCTTCACAGTCACCCAGTGCATGGACACTGCAGATTACAGTCACGTGAGCACATGGGGTCAGCCATCGACCACAGCCTGTGTCCTTGCAGACCCACGGGCTCTCATCCACCAGGAAGCCTTTATTGAGGGCCTTCTGGGTGGCAGACAAGTAGTGAACTGAGGCTGTGAGGACAGAGAGACGGAGAGGCAGCCCAGACTCAGAGACAGACCACCGGACCGAACTGTGTGGGGCAGGGGGCTGAGGGCTGTAGAGGAGAGGGTGAGGATGGGAGAGATGGACGA